AAGGGCAGGATTAAAACAAGGAAACAAACACGCAAGGTCATTCTTTGTGTTGCCCTGAGCCCCTGCAGTCATGTGTAAACACAGACGGCAATGCATTTGTCCAAACCGCAAAAGAGATCTATGTCCTTCTATTCTGTGGAGTACAAGCGACACCGTTTCTATACAAAAACCCTAGTTCTGGCCACTCCCCATCCTCCTCGCCTTCAAGATAAGAGAATCAGAATGACCCTCCTTTCTCAACAATATCAAACCCAGAGAAAAGCCACTGTTCTTATTTGTTAAAACTGCAGTCAAATAGGCATAACATACAACTTACCATCCTAATATTTAATTAATTAACTAACTTTGATGTTTTTAGAGGCAGTATCTCGCTGTGTCCCCCAGCCTGGAGTGCAGTGGTGCGATCTCGCCTCACTGCAACTTCTGCCTCCTGGGTTCAAGCGGTTCTCCTCCCTCAGCCTCCTGAGTAGCTGGGATTCCAGGTGCCCGCCACCATGCCTGGATCGTTTTTGTATTTTTAGTAGAGATGGGGTTTCAGCATGATGCCCAGGTTGGTCTGGAACTCCTGGGCTCAAGCAATCCACCTGCCTCAGCCTCCCAAAGTGCTGGGATTACAGGCATGAGCCACTGCACCCAGCCTGAAACTGAAACTTTGTACGTATCCAACATTAAACTCCTCCCTTCCCCAGCCCTTGGGAATTCTTTTTTTTTTTTTTTTTTTTTTTTTTTTATTTATTTTATTGCATTTTAGGTTTTGGATCCCTTGGAAATTCTAGCTTATTTTCTGTCTCTATGAATTTGTCTGTTTTAGATATTTCTTGGGGGTGGAACCACAAAATATTTGTCCGGGCTTATTTCATTTAGCATAAATACTTTCTAGGTTTGTGGAGGTCGTAGCCTGCGTTAGACTGTGTTTCTTAAGGCTGAAGAATGTTGCTTTTTCTTTTCTTTTATCTTTTGCCAAGACTGTGTTGGGGTTTATTCCGAAGGCTGAAGAATGTTCCATTGCATGGAGAGATGACGTTTTGTTCAGTTCTTTGATAGACATTTGGGTCGTTTTAGTCTTTTGGCTGTTGTAAAAGATGCTGCCATGAACATTAGTGCACAAATATTTGTTCACTTCCCTGATTTCAATTCATTCCTTCCTTCTTTCCTTCCTTCCTTCTTTTTTTTTTTTTTTCTGAGACAGAGTCTGGCTCTGTCACTCAGGCTGGGAATGCAGTGGCGCAATCTCAGCTCACCGTAACCTTTGCCTGCTGGGTTCAAGCAATTCTCCTGCCTCAACCTCCCAGGTAGCTGGGATTACAGGCGCCTGCCACTGTGCCTGGTTAATGTTTGTATTTTTAGTAGAGATGGGGTTTCACTATTTTGGTCAGGCTGGTCTCAAACTCCCGACCTCATGATCTGCCCACCTCGGCCCCCCAAAGCGCTGGAATTACAGGCGTGAACCACTGCGCCCGGCCCCCTTGTCTTCATCTTTGCCAATCGAATATGCAAAGTTCCACATTTAATTTCTTTTAGAAATTGTAGAGAGGGAGAGCCATCTACTCACATGTTACAGACCAAGAAAACTGCCGGATCGTTTCTGCTGACAGCAGGGCCATCATCTGCCTTGGTGAATAATGTGCTCCCTGCCACCTAAAAGTGGAACTCAATGTGCAGCGATGGCCAAATGTTTCCAGAAAGGAAGCAGCATATAGAGCCGGCGATGGAAAGAGGCCGCTCTGAGATACTAAGCAACCATTTAAGAGAGTGCAGCAAAACTGCTAAACATACCATCTACTTGTTTTAAGATTTGTTTATTTATGCCGGGCGCGGTGGCGCGTGCCTGCAGTCCCAGCTACTCGGGAGGCTGAGGCTGGAGGATCGCTTGAGCCCAGGAGTTCTGGGCTGTCGTGCGCTGTGCCGATCGGGTGTCTGCACTAAGTTTGGCATCAATATGGTGACCTCCCGGGAGTGGAGGACCACCACGTTGCCTAAGGAGGGGTGAACCGACCCAGGTATGAAACAGAGCAGGTCAAAACTCCCGTGCTGAGCAGTAGTGGGATCGCCCCTGTAAATAGCCACTGCACTCCAGCCTGGGGGACGTAGTGAGACCCCCATCTCTAAAAATAAATAAATATATTTATTTATTTATGTTCAAGACAGGGTCTTGGCCCCATCACCCAGGCTGGAGTGCAGTGGTTTGATCATGGCTCACTGCAGCCTCGAATTCCGGGCCTCAAGCGACCCTCCTGTCTCAGCCTCCCAAGTAGCTGGGACTACAGGGGCATACCATCGCTCCTTTCAAGGCTGGGCATGGTGGCAGATGCCTGTAATCCCAGCACTTTGGGAGGCCGAGGCAGGTGTATCATGAGGTCAGGAGTTCAACATCAGCTTGGCCAACGTGGTGAAACCCCATCTCTACTAAAAATACAAAAAAATCAGCAAGGCATGTGACGGGCTCCTGTAATCCCAGCTACTCGGGAGGCTGAGGCAGAGAGTTGCTAGAATCCAGGAGGCAGAGATTGCAGTGAGCCGAGATTGTGCCACTGCACTCCAGCCTGGGTGACAGAGTGAGACTCCGTCTCAAAGAAACAAACAAACAAAATATATATATAGTTGAGATGAGATCTCGCTATTTGCCCAGGCTGGTCTCGAACTTCTGGCCTTGAGTGATCCTCCTGCCTTGGCTCCCAAAGCCCTGGGATTACATGCATGAGCCAACATGCCTAGCCACTGTTCGTTTCGTTTCAGTTTATATTTGATTCCCTATTTAACGTTCATCTTCCATTGATTACAATAAAAGTTCCCCGAGGAATGAACATAGTAATCCTGTTCTCTTTGATCCAAGAGGCCCCAGCAGGCTCTGTTATAAACGAGGGGTCCAGTCTGATGTTTACATGCAGGTCTATGCAGCACGGAGAGGCCGCGCTCATGTGAACCCGGCTCGTGAGACTGACATATAAACTGGAATAAACCAGCACCGAGGTCCTTTACGCACCAGGAGAAACCATCAGAGGTCTACGTGAATGCCCATCAGATCTTGGACCCACGAACAAATCCAGTACAGAAAGCAACCCATATCGGCAGGGCCAAGTGTACGGTGCTCTTCTGACGCCCAGGCACCTGGGGGGCACTGCTTGAATGGACAGTAGGGGCCACAGTGGCCTCAAGGACCAAAGAGGAGGCTGTAAAGCCATCCAGGAAGGATGGTGGCGGGACAAGGTGGGCATCCGGGGAGCCGCGAGGGGTGAGCAGACTCGCTGGTATTGGTCACGTGGGGCCCCAGCCCTGGGAAGGAGTGAGGCTGACTCCTGGGGGCTGGCTGGCTGGCGCTGCATCGGCAGATCCAGGTTTTGGTGTTTTTTCCCTTTGGGCGATCATGAATCATCCTGCTGTGAACTGGCTTATATTTAAATGTCTATCTTCACAAAAATAGTACCAGTGAGCTTGTTCATCTGTTTCTGCCTTTATTGACCAAAGAAAGAGCCACGGTGCAAAATCTCTGTGGAAACCATTGTGTTCCCAGCACATCCTGTGGGTGAAGCGGGACAGCTGCGCAATGGGGAGTCGTTGCTGGGGATGAGGATTTCTATGACAGAACTCTAAGCAGCAGGTGAAGACAATGAGCAAGGCTATGGGAACAATGTCTTCATTTGATTGAGTTTTGAAATTGATTGCACCAGCCATTTCTAGTTCCCTGCACTGTGAGCTTTGTCAATCTCTCTGGCCCCTGAACCCACGTGGGTCCCACCACGGAGAGACGAGGGCAGCCAGGTGTCTGACAGAGAAGATGCACCTCTGAGGGACCCGACTTGTGTGGACCAAGGTCATGGGTCCCCTGTGTCATCAGCAGCGGGTTCATTCACTCACAAGGGCAGATCAACAGCGGCCCACGGGAACGTCCATCAGACCTGTGCCCTCTCCTGATACAGGTCTGTGCAGCTCGGAGAGGCTGGGATCATGTGAACCCAGCTCACCAGCCCCTTACATAAACTGGAATAAACCAGCACCGAGGTGATTTACTCAGCAGGAGAAACCAGCACAGGTCTGTGTGAATGCCCATCAGACCTTCACCCCATGGGCAAATCCACTAGAGAAACCAACCCATATCAGCAGGGCTGGTGTGTACTGAGCTGTCCTGACGCCCAGGCACCTGGGAACAATTTTTTGAATGGATAGTCATGGCCAGAGTGACCTCGAGGGACCAAAGAGGAGGCTGTGGGGTCATCCAGGAGGGAGGGATGGTGGCAGGACAAGGCGGGCAGCCTGGGAGCCAGGAGAGTGGGTAGACTCGCTGGCATTGGTCCTGTGGGGCCCCGGCCCTGGGAAGGAACCAGGATGACTCCTGGGGGCTGGGTGGCTGGTGGTGCCTCTCCTGAGATGGGGACCCCAACCACGGGTCATGATGCTGATTCCCCCCACCCCGTGTGGAATGCCCTCTCGCCTGGGCTAGGGCCCGTGGGGGGGTGAAGCCAAGGCAGTGTCGGCCACTGAGGTTCCCCAGCTCCCAGCCCAGCTCAGCAGGCAGTACCTGATCAGTGATGAAAAGTTAATCCAGCCGGTTGTGGTGGCTCACGTCTGTAATCCCAGCATTTTGGGAGTCCGAGGCGGGTGGATCACAAGGTCAGGAGTTCAAGACCAGCCTGGCCAACCTGGTGAAACCCCCACCTCTACTAAAAATACAAAAAATTATCCCAGCATGGTGGTGGGCACCTGTAATCCCAGTTACTTGGAAAGCTGAGGCAGGAGGCTTGAACCCAGGAGATGGAGGTTGCAGTGAGTTGAGACCACACCATTGCACTCCAGCCTGGGCAACACAGCAAGACTCCATCTAAAGAAGAAAAGAAAAATTAATCTGTCATTCAACTCCTCCAGGAGGCGGGACTGCAGGGCAGGGTGGGAAGGGAGGGTCCCAGCAGGGCGGGGCAGGGCAGGGTGGGCACAGCATATAAGTGATTTAACAGCCAGACTTATGTCAGTGCACACTTGTGTTTGGGAACAGAGCAGGACTCAGGATGCAAGACCCTAGGGATCCCCAAGGTGAGCCGGGACAGTGCTGTGAGGGGCCTGGGCCGATCCTGTGTCAGGGGCTGCAGAGTGCAGATCTGGGCAGCCAGAGAAGGGCTGGGGCTGTGCGGGTGGCTTCCTGCCCTGCAGATGGGGGAGGACTTCATGGCCTTTGGGAAATGGAATCAAATGGTGCAGCCGGGAGCAGCAGCTCACGCCAGTGACCCCAGCTCTTTAGGAGGCCAAGGCGGGAGGATCACTTGAGCCCAGGATTCTGAAACCAGCCTGGCCAACAGAGTGAGACCCGTCTCTACCAAAAATACAAAAATTACCCAGGGGTGATGGTGCACACCTGTGGTCCCAGCTACTCGGGAGGCTGAGCCCGGGGATTGCTTGAGCCCAGGAGGTGGAGGCTGCCTTGACCTGTGGTCACGTCACTGCACTCCAGCCTGGGTGACAGAACAAGATCCCCTCTCCAGAAAAAAGACCGAAGGAAAGAAATTAAATCGTGCAACTGAGTGGAGCAGAGGATGGGGCAGGTGGCGGTGGCCTTCGGGTGTCAGGGTCCCTAGAGCCCTTGGGTGGGAGGAGTTGGGCAGCTGGGGAGGGCTGAGCAGGCCGGAGGTAGCCGCTCTGCTCCGGGTGAGGCGCCCAGGCTGCTTGCCTTCCCCTCTGTGGGGTCCCGAATAATACAGGGGCTGCTATCACGCCCATTGCCAAGATGTGGACCCTGAGGCCCAGAGTGGTGCAAGGTCTGGTCCGGACCTCAGGCTGCTATCCCAGCGCTGCCCCAGCCAGACCGCCTGGGCTCCTCGCCGGGCGCAGGGGACCGGGTTTGTGGGGGGGGTGCTGGAGGGGCTGAGGGGTGTGGCGGGCTGCCTGGGGGCTTCTCTGACCCTGTTTCCCTCCTGCCCCCAGGACCTCCCCCGGCCCAGGGCCGTCCCCTGAACCAAAACCCTCCAAGGAGACAGCGGCAGGAGCGCACGGTCTACACTCGCAGCCAGCAGGAACAGCTAGAAGCTTACTTTCAGGAGAAGCAGTACCCGAACTTTGACGAGCGACTGGAGCTGGCGCAGAAACTCGACCTCAGGGAGCAGCAACTGCAGGTCTGACCCCAGCCCCACCCTGCCCCGCCTCCATCATCACCCCAAAAGGCCTCCCCACCGCTGTCACTGGGGCCCGGTCCACCCGGCCACCTCCTGCCCTGCTACGCCGGGGGTTACACCAGTGTAGACCAGGGCTGCACCCGGAGTCCTGCTCCAACTCTGTGCGGGCTCAAACCTGCCCACGTGATCAGCCCAGGCTGTGTCCCACGGGGTCTCCCGGTGTCCAGACCCCAGGCCCCCTGAGCACCCCCAGAGTCCCTGCTCTTGAACCCTCCCTGGCCCCGGGCTCCTGGGCTGCAGTCCCCGCTCCTCCCCTCCCACCCCACGCGCCACCCCCTCCTTTTCTCTCACTCTCTCCTCCCTTCTCCCGGCCTTGGAGGCCCGGGTAAGGTGGAAGGTGGGGGGCAGGGGGTTGGGGAGGTGGGAGCTTTGAAGGGGGTTTGGGGATTGAGGGACAGTGGGGGGGTGAGCTCAGGGCGAGGCTTGAGGCCAGCCCTCCCCCCCCAGCCGCTCACCTGGGCCGAGGTGGTGCACGAACCTCTCCTTCACACCCCCTCCCTGTCCCCTCTCCCCCTAGGTGTGGTTCAAGAATCGTCGCGCCAAACTAGCCCGGGAGCGGCGGCTCCAGAAGCAGCCCCAGAGCGGCCCAGGGCGGAGAGGCCGCGGAGCCCGGGCTGCGCCCCCAGACCCTGCAGGCGCTGCCTCCGCCCCTGGGGGTCCTGAGTTCCCGCAGGGCTGGGATTCCTGGATGTCCCCTCAGCCGGGCCCCTCGGGAATCCTCCCAGCAGCAAAACCCACGACCTACAGCCTCCACCAGGCCTGGGGCGGTCCTGAGCGAGGCGCGCAGGGTGGCTTCCTGGCTGGCCCGGGTCCAGGCCCCGGCCCGATCCCAGCCCCAGTCCGTGGCCCAATCTCAGCCCCAGCTCAGATCCCAGGCCGGATCCCGGGCCCCATCCCAGGCCCAGCCCAGATCCCAGGCCCAATCCTAGCCCCAATTCCAGGCCCAATCTCAGCCCCAGCTCAGATCCCAGCCTGGATGCCAGGCCACAGCCCAGACCCAGCCCAGATCCCAGGCCCAGGTCCCATCTTAAGCTCTGGCCAGATGCCAAGCCTAGGCTCACTCCTAGGCCCAGCCCCCATTCTAGGCCAAAGCCCAGGATCACTCCTAGACCCAATCCCAGGCCCAGGATCACTCCTAGGCCCAGCCCCCATTCTAGGCCAAAGCCCAGGATCACTCCTAGACCCAATCCGAGGCCCAGGATCACTCCCAGCCCCAATCCCAGGCCCAAGATCACTCCTAGACCCAATCCCAGGCCCAGGATCACT